AGTCAGAATTGACTTGATGGCACACGATGATGGCATTTATGATTAAACACGCATAGAATTGTGTCTATATCGGAAACAAACTCATTAAAACCAAAATCTCACCTCTTGCTGACTTCATTCTTAGCTGTTAAAAGCTAGATCCAATTGTTAAGCCCAGCTAGGATAGACCAGTTGTATCCGTGGGATTTTCACTTAACAGGTCCCATTTATTCAGTGGGTATATTCCAGTTGGGACTTAATGGTTTGATTTAATTGTACGGGAGCAATCTAAATATTAAAGGAGTTTTACATATTGAGGGAACAGCCAAGCAGGTGGATCCTAAAATCCATCGCCAGCCCCCTCCCACTTTTTAATCACTTGATGTTATATGCTATGAAGTTTCTTCCGATTTACAGTGAACATATGGATTGATCTCCAAAAGCTCTTACTGTTGACAGACCTGTTCAGGTTTTGCAAATAGAAGTTACGACTTACTTTATTGAGTGTCATGTTAGGGCTTTCTTTTTTCCTACTGCTTTCTGCTTTTCCTAGCAATTTAAGAATATTTTAATTATTGATTATCTGTATGTCAGTCAGTCTGTCCAGCTGTGTATCTACTGTCTTGCCTTAACATTGAATCAGTTATTTTAGCATATATGTTGTAAGCATGCCCAAATAACCTCAGATTCAGCGCTTGTAATTTATTATTTCTATTCTCCTCAAAACCGAGACATAAGATCACTTAGAAAATGATTAAGTAAAATATACGTCTTAAAATCACTGAATTGTAGTATTACATTTCAGTTGAATATATTAAAATAATCATTGGCTTAAAATACTTTTAAAACAATTTTGAAGGACATCAGAAAAAAGATACCGCATATTGTTTCAGTAGAAGTAGAAATTAGTTAGTCAAAGGATATCTTGAACTTCTTGTTGTATTTGCTGCAAAGTTTCAACAACAACCTCAGAATGTAAGAAGAGTGCTGCTAGATCAGACCAAGAAGTATCCTGTTTCTCACAGTAGCTATCAGATGCCTCAGGGGAGCCCACAAGTAGGACATGTACTTAATAGCCCTTCTTTCTGTTGTTCTTCAGCAGCTGATATCCAGAGATAGGATGCCTCTGGTCCTAGAGATAGCATTATACTGCATGACTAGTAATCGTAGGTAAACCTATCCTCTCTGATTTTTTTTTCTTTATCTAATCTCCTGCGGTAAGGCCATATGAGTCAGTGACCCTCACCATGTTGTATAGTAGCCAGTTCTATAGTTTATGCATTGTGTGGAGATCTGCATCTTTTAAGTTGTTTTGGATTGCCTACCTTTTTCCCTCAGTAGAATTGCCTCCCATTCAGTTTCATCAGTTGATCCCGTGTTCTGTGGCCAAGAAGAATAGCATTTCTTTTTTTCCTTATGCCGGGGACGGGTGATCTATTGCTCTCCAGATGTTACTGCATTGCAACATCCATAATCATTGACCAATGGCTGTATTTGCTAGGGTTCGTGACATATTATGTGTGCCATGTATCTCTAAATTGTTTGTTTCCATTCTAAAGCAGAAGTCCCCATAGGTTGCAATGTTTCTTCACAGGGAAGTTGCTCCATGTTTTGATCATTTGGGTTGGCTTTTGTTTAGAACCATTTTGCAACTGTAGAATACAGTATCACTTTGCAGAGGTGGTGACCACAGTGTACACAGTGGCTGAATTCCTGCTTCTGAGCCTTTTAAGTTGCAACTACAGCAGACCTATTTGAATCAATGGAACTTGATACCCACTGATTCACTGCGCCTACCCTGGGGTAACTTACTATGCTAAGCAACAAGATTTCAGTCAGTCATAAAACTTTGTGGGCTGGACTAACAGACTGCATAGCAGAAGTAATTCAGATGGACAAAGCTTGATGACAAAAAGCATTGTAATGCAGGCACAACACTAAAGGAAGGAAGAAAGAGAAGGAAACCCACCCCATGGTATAGTACAGTCATTATGAGCTTGAGTCAAAACATGTTATCTTACTCTATCAAGAAATGATAAATATGTTTTTGTTTCATTAAGAAGCCAGAATCTGGAAAGGGAAAATGAAAAAGAGAAGAAAAATGAAAAATTATTTTTCAGGGGTAGCCTCTTTTGTTGGTTTTAAATAAAAATTTAATGGCTAGTATCCTCTTCATGCCAGCATAATTTACATGTCCTGGGCAAGAAGGAGTTGTGCTATGGAACTCTGCAATTTTTCTCACATTCCCACTGGGTGGATTGGATTTAAATCAAATTGATTTGATTTAAATTGATTAAAAATGATTTAAATCATGATTTACATTTTTTAAAAAATCAAACTTTTTTGACAATTTAAATTTTGAAAATCATATTAATTTGATTTAAATCAATTTGATTTTTTTAAAAAATGATTTTTATCCACATTGCGTTCCTGGCATGACTGACTGCATAATATACTGGTGAAAATGCATTGGGAATACACTTCTCTCTTGGTGACAGCACATGCAACTTTGAGTCATGCAATATGATTTTGGCCCATGTCTGCTTTAATGGATGGATGGGTGGGCGGGCAGGCAGGCAGATAGATGAATAAATAAATAAAGTTGTTCATAATAGTTAAAACGATAACCTCCTCTATAAATATGGAGCAGAGATTTATTGCATTATCCCATGAATGATTCTTTTGTACAGTAAACTTATTTTTTCTATCGTCTTATTGTCTAACGTAGGTACACCTACAGTCCAAAACAGAAAAGTTCAGAGTGACTTCTTTAGAAGTTCTAGACTGTGTGACAACCCCAAACCCTGACATTTAAGCTCAATTCCTGATTAATCCAGCTCATAATTAATTCAGTGCTGGCCAACTGCCACTGTTCAAGGTAACAACAAGAATATAGAAGTCTGGCTCCTGCAGCAACCTTCATTAGATCTTGAAGCAGCAATACTTCAAACCTATGTGAAATGTACCTTCCCAGGCCTTGAGGAATTTAGTAAAGACCAAATCCTAAATTGAATTGTTGGTCTCAATTAGAGTACACCTATTCAATCTGTAGGGTTTATATAGATAATTTACCATTCATCCAGTAGATTTATTGAAGCTGGTTCTATGATTAGAACCCCTAGGAAAAAGCAGCCTCCGGGAAATCTCAACTTCGGAAAAGTTGCATTGGTGGACCACAACTTCCAGAATTCTCAGAATTATAGTCCAAACAGTTACTTTTGTTGACACCCAGCAAAGCATCTTGTGGCTTCTCAAGGATTAATATGTTTTATCTCGTGTAGCTTTCATATCCTGTACTGTAGTCCTTTTTATCAGATACAGGACATACAGACCTGGATACACAGATATTTATACAAACACTGCAGTGAAAGGGAAATATGCATGCAAAAGATACACTTTAACACTGGTTCTTTAACAAGCAGTCATAGGGAAGTGGCAGGTATATTTTGGGGGTATTACTGTCTTGAATAGACAGAGAGGCATCTAGGTTTTCTCTTTTTCTATTGCTAGTAACATTGTCAGAAGCACTAAGAGACCTGGAATTCAGAATGGGTCAGGCTTAAAATTAATAATTTGTACCCAGTTTAAGTTGAATAGGGATGGGCTTGTATTTGGGTAGTCTGATTTTGAGATGAGGATGAGGTTATTCAACAGTCACCATTCCTTTCTTACTATTTTTTGTCTCTGCTACTTGGAGGAGTTACTTTGGTTTAGGCATCTGGTTGCAGCGCCAGAATTAGGGAGTTTGTTTCCCCACTGTGCCTCACTGGCATGGGCTGATCCATAGAATCCCTTCCAGCTCTGGAATTCTTTGGTTCTAAGATTTTCACTGACTTACATGGACTTGGTTTTTAGAACATGAGTTTTTAGGCTGTGTTAATTACTTAATTCATTGATTTTACTAAGTAAACTTTGCAGGCTCTAATTGTCAGCTAGTAATATTGTATCACGTACATATCAGACATTGTTGTTAAATCTATCCACTGATAATGATGTGGTTCTTTGAATTAGCAGGTGCTGCTCTGAAGGGGTTGTTGGAGTACAAAATCAAAAACAGTGCAAAGAGCAGACATCCTTATGCTCATGTTCATATTAGTAGAATCTCTGAAACCTGATCTTCCAACTTTTCACTGCAGGTTTTTATTGCTAGTGCAGGTTGCCAATTAAAGGAATATGTCTGGAATCAAAGCCTTTGTCTACCAATAACCACATCAGGTCCCTTGGCAAATACTTTGTCATAGTCAGCAATGAGAATATGCACACCCACACTCATACTGGGTCATCTCTTTCTAAACCCTTATAAGCAGAATAGTGTCTACCCATCACCATACAGAATAAAATAAAACATCTTACTGATTATCTAGCATCCACTACTGCCATTTAAAATTTGCAATTTTATGTGGTCAGTTTGTTCTGCTTTATTGTAGGGCTGGTGCTGAATAGAGTACACAGTGAGCTAGGACTTGTTTTATTTTAAATGCAACTCCCATTCCCCCCCCCAGTTAGGAATAAGGCAACATTTGAAACAACAAAAATAAACATTTAAAGTGCCCACAACATCAAACTGAAGGCAATTAGGTGGTCCTGAAATTGTACAACTTTCTGTTGGTCAGTAGAAAGAATTAAATGCTCCAAATTTTATATTGCTTGTTAAAAGTAATTGCAGCTGTTCTTTTGTGTTCATGGTAACACAGAGGAAGATGTTTCTGTGCATCCCTTTAGATCCTCCAGAATCTCGTGGCTTTGTTTTGAGCACATGAGTGTGAAAGAGGAGAGGCGAGCTGAGCTGCAATCTCTCTTCCCCCACCTTTCTCTTTCAATCTCTCTGGCTGTAACTTTAAGTTTACACAAATTCCCTGTGTGGGCAGCGATTCACTCCATGCTCCTGTCTCAGGAATCCAGTCCAGTTTGGGAGTCTTGCTGCCCTTTTGTTGTCTTCCCCACGAGGGTGATCCGTTGAGGGCTCTGTGGTGACAGAACCAGTTTGTAACAGGCTTGTCTTTCACCCTTCTCCTCTCCAGGCATTGCAGGCACGACTCATTCAAGGATCTGAGAGGCAGGAGCGGAGAAAAAAAAAGACTCTTGAGTGAAATAAGGAAGGGAAAGGAAGCAGAGATTTAAACCAAAGCAAATCAGAGAAGCTGCTGCTCCTGCTGTTGCTGCTGCTACTGCAATGAACTGGTTAGAGGAACCAAACTGGCAGCTTCAGGTTTCCTTGCTGGTGTTGCTTTCCGTTCACACCAAGGGTAAGAAGACAAAATGTTGTGTAATGTACTTCTGTGAAGGGTGTTGGGCTGAAATATATCTAATTTGTCTCTTGCTTTTGTGGAAGGAAAAGGGTAGGAGCAAACTATCAGAACTTTGGGAGTTTTGCAAGCCACCCATACTTTGTGTGAAAAGTTCAGCAAGTTTAATGGCTCACACATAACATTAAGCTGTTGCATGGGAATTGAATGCTTGCTTTAGAAACAAATGCATGTTACGCTTGGAAGCCTCTACTGATTTCATTTTCTCCCCTTTCTTTACTGGTTCTGCAGTTCTTTGAACCCCATTATAATTGTGGTTACAGTTGTGGTGATAATGCTGTGAAGTTCATAGAAGCAACCCAAATGTAGGAGCACTTTCAGTGCCTGTGACAAATGATGTTTACACTTATGCTGTTGATTCAGTTGTTTAAGAATTCTTTTGTAATCTGTTTCAGTAAAACTGTAGAAAGAAGGAGAGCTTTGGAGGATGAATTTCTGGCTGTTTTCATTTTTAGAACTTGATTTGCTTTTTAAAACACAGCTGGCTCAAATGCAAATGATTACTTGAGAAACATGAGTCAGCATAATTAGTTTTGCTGCTGAGAAGCCCCAAAAAGAAGTGGTCTTTTTTTTGGGGGGGGGGTCACGGATGGATAAAAGTGGTTGTGGGATTTGCAGTCTTGGATACCAAAATGCTTATATTAGGTGCTATGACTTGCCAGCAGCAGGGGTTCCTGCTCTGCATCAGGCAACATAGTACCTTCATAGTCCCAACAAATATTATTGTTTCATGAAGCTATTTTTTTCATGTATCTATGTACATATCCATATTCCATTGAATCTGCATGTAAACCCATTCAGATCAGTTGGCTTTAAGCATCTTAGCTTCATTTTAGCTGTTACGGTTCTCAGCTACAGTAATAAATCTGGACTCAGACTTCAGATTTAAGTTTGCAGATGAAGCTGTAATAGCCTCATGTAGACAGAATGCTGAACCAGGAGTGGGAGAACTGTGGCTGTTCCCATGTTTCTGAAATCCCAACATTCAGTATCCCAAGTGGGTGATGATGAACTGTGACCCAACAGTATTGTGGGGAGGGTTTACAAGTTTTCCCATCTGTACAGTGGTGCCTCAACTTACGAACGTCCCGACATATGACCATTTTGAGTTACGATCAGCTCCGGCCACAAAATTTTGCTTCTACTTGCGACAGGAGCTTTGAGTTATGAACAGAAAAAGGCAGGGGGGAAAGGCGGGGAATTCGAATTGCTAACCGTTGGTGGCAAAGAGGCTGTTTCTTTGTAGCTCTTTTGCCCCAGCAGTTAGAGAGTGTGCGATCAGAGGAGGCTTTGGACTGCCTGGTAAAGTAAGGTGCTGCTTTCTGCTTTTAAAAAACTGTTCTGGATGGGTTTTGCAGTTGCTTTTGGGCTCAGGGGATTATGTTTCTGTGCTGTGATGGGTCTTGCAGTCTTTGTTTTTGGGGTTTTTTTCTCATTTCCGATGGGTCTTGCAGGGTTTGTTTGCTTTTTGCCCCCCCCCACTTTCCAAAGGGTCTTGCACAGTTTGTTTGCTTTTTGCTCTCTTTTTTTACATTTCCAAAGGGTTCTGCACAGTTTGTTTGCTTTTTGCTTTACTTTTTCTTTTCTTTTCTGATGGGTCTTGCATGGTTTGTTTGCATTTTGCTTTGCTTTTTTTTCCTCTGTAACTAGCTACCTGATGGGTTCCAGGAAAATCACCGTTAAGTGAAAACATCGTAAAGCATCTTGCACAGTTTGTTTGCTTTTTGCTCTCTTTTTTTACATTTCCAAAGGGTTCTGCACAGTTTGTTTGCTTTTTGCTTTACTTTTTCTTTTCTTTTCTGATGGGTCTTGCATGGTTTGTTTGCATTTTGCTTTGCTTTTTTTGCATTTCTGAAAGGTCTTGTCCCCCTTTTGTTTGCTTCCCCCCCTTTGGCCGGAATGGATTAATCGTGTTTCCGATGGGTCTTGCAGTGGTTTGGTTTGGTTTTGTTTTTGGTGATTTTTTTTCTGCGGGTGGAACGGATTATTGTATTTCAATGCATTCCTATGGGAAATGGTGCTTCGATTTACAACCATTTCGAGTCGCGACCAGAGTTCCGGAACCAATTAAGTTTGTAAGTCGAGGAACCACTGTACTTGGCCTGGGTCCAAACTATCTCAAAGACTTTATCTCCTATTATGAGCCTGCTTTTGGGTTAAGGCCTTTCTCTCAGTCCCACCATGCTCACAGGTGCATGTGGTGGGGACGTGAGAGAGGGCCTTTTTTGTTGTTGCCCACATCTTTGCTGTTCCTCTGCAAGCAAAGGGTATGATGTTTAGATAGATTGCTATTCATTACTTCTTTGACTGGATTTTTAGTACTATTGTTTTGGTTTTGTTTTTGGTGATTTTTTTTCTGCGGGTGGAACGGATTATTGTATTTCAATGCATTCCTATGGGAAATGGTGCTTCGATTTACAACCATTTCGAGTCGCGACCAGAGTTCCGGAACCAATTAAGTTTGTAAGTCGAGGAACCACTGTACTTGGCCTGGGTCCAAACTATCTCAAAGACTTTATCTCCTATTATGAGCCTGCTTTTGGGTTAAGGCCTTTCTCTCAGTCCCACCATGCTCACAGGTGCATGTGGTGGGGACGTGAGAGAGGGCCTTTTTTGTTGTTGCCTCCATCTTTGCTGTTCTTCTGCAACCAATCGAAAACCTTTCTCTTCAGGCAAGCCTTCCCTCTGTAACTAGCTACCTGGGTATGATGTTTAGATAGATTGCTATGCATTACTCCTTTGACTGGATTTTTAGTACTATTTTTGTTTTCCATTTCTCAGAGTGGCATTTTTTTAAAAAAGTATTTATAT